TGTCCAGTACTAACCTGTGAAGTTGGCGCCTTGATGCAGGTACCACGAAGATGGAGCTGGAGCGATGGCGCCACAGGTAAGTACCACTGGCCTCCGCCAGTCTCTCTCCCGCTCTACGATCTACCACCTACCAGCACCCAGCGCTGAAGACTACTCTATGGCTATGGCGCCCAGCGCCGAAGACTACAGCTAGCGCTACTACTAAGCGCTGGAGACTACTGCAGCGCTCCTCCTGAGTGCTGGGGCCGAATCCTGAAGACTACCAGTGCCTACTGAAACTACCTACCCTCCTGACTCGTGCGAGCAGTCCAGGGGGCTGCTCTTGCCAATGCCGAAGGCAGGCAGGGGCTGCAGCTGCAGCTCCTGCTCGAGCACGTGAGGAACAGGCTATTTTGGGCCTGTTCCGCATCCCTGTTTCCGTGCCTGAGTCTTAGGGGCAGGTCGAAACAAGGAGGGCCTGAAAATGGCCCTCCGTTTCAGGCTGAAAACTCTGGGTCTGAAAAGACCCAGAAATAGGCTGAAACGGGGTAGGGCCTGCAGGCCCTCGTTTTTCAGCATCCAGGCTGAAATGAACGGGGCCTGTAAGCCCTAAGTTTTAGGCTTTTAGGCTGAATGTCTGGGACGGGCCCTGCAGGGCCCGTGTGGCTACGCAGTATGCCACAGTCTCCTTCCTGGTCCCCACATCCGTCTTCCTCCTCCTACCTCCTATGCTTCATAGCCAGGCTTGAGGTCCATCACCCTCACCTCCATAGCCATGTCGTATCTCTACCACCCCCACTACTCCTCCATAGCCATGGAGGTCTTTACCACCGTCCTCAGGCTCCACCTTCGCCTCCACTTGCTCCACCTCCTCACCCTCTGGGCGGAGCAGCATAATCCTCACTTGAAGAATGAACCGAAGTGTCATGCCCTCTTCTCTACACCTGCTCATATACATAGGCTGCCCCGCCTCCGGTACCTCCTGGCCGGGCACTACCCAGCACCACCCGGCCTCTCTTGGGTGCAGCAGGCCTACTGTGTGTTCCTGCTTTTGGCAGGAACATCATTTCAGACTGCAACTCGGCCTCAGGGCCTGTCTCCAGCCTAGGGCCGTGACCCAAAACAAAACAGGGCCAAAAAAAAAGGGAAAAAAAATTGGATTTTTTTTTTCACCAAATGCACTTTTCAGGGTTGAGGGGGTCAACCTGGAGCTGCAAAGTGGGGGTACCTGTTAACCACTTGTGCTAGGGCCCTACCAGGTACGGGCCTCACCACTTATGACTCTGTTTGGCTGCTACTGGGCTACCCACTAAGCCTACCTGGTCCCAGGGCCCACCTGGGTTGCTGGGAAATCCTACTGGGTCCCTGGCCAATTCTACACTTGCCCGTGGGTGCTAGACTACCCCCCAGCACATCCTACACCTAATTGCAGTCCTGCCCCTGGCCATCACTCTATTCCTACCTTGTCCCTGTCAGAGTCACAGCCACACACACACGGCCAGGAACCTGTCATAGAAGGTATGTGTCTCTATTCTGTGGACTATCCCCGGTGCCATCATCCGCCACATCCTCTCGTAACATTGTCCCACATACGGTGTTGGTTACACACCTACTGCAACTGCAGTCGGAATTCCTTCTTCCCCACCTAACGAACGACAGACACAGCAGCCTGAGGAAAATAGAACCACCTGCAGAGCGCTGTGCTGATAGGTTATCTGCAGCAGCTAAACACCCTTGCTTTGGGTCAACCTCCCCCGTCGTCATTTACCCATAGAGAGGGAATAAATACTGAGGAAACCCAAGAAACCTGCTCCATGCCGCTTTGTGATGACCCACCGGAGATTCCGCTAGCATGTTGTTCGCATGCCTTATGCCGTGAGGATTATGAAGGGATAGTCCAGGCGAGCTTTTGTCTTCATATATACGATGACAGTCTGCACTGCACTCATGTACGGCACCCTGACATGTCATGTCCAATTTGTAGACATGGGCTGGAAGAGCAATGCCTCTACAATTGCGGTCGGCATGCCTCTGTATTCCTGGCATGTCGGAGCCATGTAGCCTATGACATCTGTCTACGCTGTGCCATTCAATGCAGTAACTGCGACTGCGAGAATTGGATGCGGTGCTTCCACAGGCCACACCCAAACCGGTCCTGGCCAGTCTGTAGAGGTGGCCATATACATAGGCACTTATCATAGGGCAATGGCTGCTCCTCAAATCTTATGCAACCCACACACTGTCTGGCCTCATGTGCCATTCTAGAGTGGTTTCCCTCCCGCTGCCTCTTCTGTGCTACTACTGCTTTCAGAGTGTGCACTAATACATAGAGATGAGCATCATTAAGAGAACAGACAAAATAGAAGTTGAAGATCTGAGAAGAGACGAACAGGAATATACCTCCGTCTTTGCTCTGCCTCCTTTCAGAGTGTGCAAGTGGGCCATTATGGCACACGGGGATGTGGGCAGCTCGTGCTCAACCACAATCAATGGGCAAGTCTTGTACATGAGAGGCACGGTAGAGGGGGAGCTGCAAGAACAAATGAAAGGGGTACCCCCCAAAGAAAGCAAACGTGAACACAATTAAGAGAGGGGTTTACATGCCTCTATTATACTCCATGTTGCTTTCTATAGAGGTGAAACTGTTTCATCGTCGGATTGTCTCATCTCAAGGGCTTTCCTTGTTTCAATAGAATTGAATATGCTTTGATTTGAATCTGTTCATCTGGGTGGAATAGGGGCTGTTGTGGTGAGAATTCAAAACTCACACACGGCCATCAGAGTTAGAACAAAAAARAAAAAAAAAAGAAAAAAAAAAAGCACACGGACACAGACCCGGAATCAGCAAGCACGCACGAGATGCACGTCAGTGGTAGCTTACACACACACTTATGAAACACAGCGAATCGTAGCAAACAAACTGTCGAAATTCTCTGGAATGTTGCGAATAGTTGAAGAAAACATACCTAAAGAACATCATTTCGTCATTTTCTCAGAAATTGCAGGAATTTCACATTATTTCAGGCAGTCATTTTGAGTGGGTCAGTGCACCTAAGAAAGGGAAAGCAAAGGAAAAATGTTTGCTATGTATGCTGAGAATGCAATTATCACTATTTCTGCCCCTTGGCTCTAATGAGTTGGCATCCCAGACACGGTCCACAGTCTCGTGCTTTTCCTGTCTCCACATCTCTGCCCTTTGCTTGAGGACTTACGAACACAGATTCTGTGATTGGCTTTGCAGTTCTATCAACGCCAAACAGTTTTGTTAATTTTTCTCAACATCAAACAGTTAAGTTGATTTGTTCTCATTAAGATCCGCTGTCTGTTCAATTGATTTGCTTTCCTTGGGCAGTGTTTCGCATTCCTATGGTGTGCATGTGCACTCTGATTCCTGGGGAACTGCTAATCCATCCTATTCGTCCATGGCACGCGATCTTGATGCATTCTGCTGGGACCATCCGGTGCGTTCTCTTCCCCATGTGGCTTTCCTTCTTGACATGTCCTTCTTCTTCTTCTTCT